CTCCTCCACGCGCGGCGCCCACAAAATCCTGACGGACGGCCCTCGGCGCGTACCCGGGCGAGGGCGCGCGTGTAATGGCGCTTTTCGATGCTTACGCGCGCTCGTCTTTATTTTGCGTTGCTTCTTGTGACTTCTTTTTTATGGTTTGTTATTTCTTTTATCTATTCGAGTGTTTGTTTGTTTGATTATTTGTTTGTTCGTTCAGGTTTTATTTCGTTTTGTTTGTTTTGTTCTTCTCTCTCTCGACTTTCTCATTTCTTTTTTGTCCTTTTTTCTGCTCTTCCTCTTGCACCTCATCTCATACCCACTTCTCCTCCTTTTCTTCTATTCTCGCCTTCTGCTTTTTTCCTTCTCTTCCTCATTCTCCCTTCCTTTTTCTTCCATTCTCCTTTCCATTCTCCTCCTCATCCCTCTTTCTCTGTCTCCTCTTGCTCCTCTTTTTCCTTTATTTATCTTCTTTTCTCCCTCCTCTTCTTTTTCTCTCCTTCCCTTACCTCTTCCTTCTATCTCGTTTTCCTCTTCCCTTTCCCCTTCCTTCTCTCTCTATCTCCTCCTCCTTTTTTCTCTTTCTCTCCCCCCTTCTATTCCTCCTCTCTCTATTTTCCCTCCCCCTTCCTCCTCTCCCCTCTCTCTCTCCCCATACCCCATTTTTTCCTTCTCTCTCTTTCTCCTCACCCCCCTCCTCCTCCTCCTCCTCCCCCTCCTCGTCTTCTTGCTCCTCCTCCTCCTCCTCCTCCTCATTCTTCTCCTTCTTCTTCCTCCTCCTCTTCCTCCTCTTTTTCCTCCCCCTCCCCCTCCTCCTCCTCCTCCTCCTCTTCCTCCTTCTCCTCCTCCCCTCCCCCCTCCTCCTCCCCCTCCCCTACTCCTCCTCCTCCTCCCCCTCCCCTACTCCTCCTCCTCCTCCCCCTCCTCCTCCTCCTCCTCCCCCTCCTCCTCCTCCTCCTCCCCCTCCTACCCCTCCTCCTCCTCCTCCTCCTCCTCCTTCTTCCTCTCTTCCTCCGTTCCCTTCATTTCCGACCCAACTGCCCGTGTGCCAAGCGCCCTGCATACATTTCATCCATCACTAGCCAAGGACACTCGAAAGACACGGGATGGAAATCATACGTGCGAGAAGAAGGCTCTGAGGTGGAAAGAAAGATGGCTAGATATACATAAGCACGTGCATTCCTTCGTCGTTTATGCTTATGGGCTTATGTATGTGTGTACGTAGGGATGTATATGTATACGTATGGAGATATATACGTGTATATGTATATATATACAGATATGAGAACAAACGAACATCTGCAAATACATATAGGGTGTATGTACAGTGCATCATATATGCATACATACGTACATACGTACGCACGCACACACACACACACATACACACACACACACACACACACACACACACACACACACACACACACACACACACACACACACACACACACTCACACATCGTGCAGGGTACGGATCCGGGCAGCGCAACCTTAAGAGAGCAAGAGGACAAACAATTACAAAAACGCTTGTAATTCCTGGTGAAAGGAAAGAGAGAAAGAGGGGGTGGGAGGAGGGGAGGGTTAGAATGAGAGAGAGAGAGAGAGAGAGAGAGAGAGAGAGAGAGAGAGAGAGAGAGAGAGAGAGAGAGAGAGAGAGAGAGAGAGAGA